CCCCAAAACCCCAAAACCCCAAAACCCCAAAACCCCATTCAAGTAAAATAGATATCTTTTGAAGATTATTTAAATTGATATAAAAGCGGCTGTAATACATTTTCTTGTAATAATAAATAAACTTAGTTTATTAAAGACTAACCAAATATTTATATGAGAAATAGGAATAGGAAGCAAACTATCAGCATAGTTGAGTAAGCCCAAATCTTTTCAATTTTAGCTTTTTGAATAGGATGCTTGAAAGCCCATAACTTTAGACTAACTCTGATAATTAAAACTAATACCAGAAAACTCTTATAGCTTAATCGAAGAAAGAGATTTCAATTGATAAGAACTAATTATCAGTTTAGAAACTTAAGGACATAAGTCGAATGAAAAAGTATTCTTAGGATATTTTGATAAAGAGCAATAGTGTTGAGAATAAGTCAAGATCTTAGAAGGAATCACCTAGGTAAATGTCTTCAAGTCAATACAAAAAGTATCTCGACTTGAATCATATCAACCACAAATATGCCAATGTTTAAACAGAAATTGCTGATTCACAAGCATAAACTTTCTCTGTTGAAGGTCAAAGTGTAGAGTCTTATTAGGCTAATAAAAAATCAAAAAAAGAAAGCATTTCTGGAAGATTGAATACGGAATAAGTTGAATTTCCAAGGAACGATTTGCTTTGTTCAAATGATTACTTTAAAATAGGTTCTAGTGAGATATGCATGATGATGGAGGCGAAAGGCAAATTAGATTCTTGCAAATAAATGCTGAGAAGACTTCCTGAGTCAAGGAACTTTAATCAATTTTAAATAAAAGTAGATGAAATACTGAGTTATGAAAAGAAAGCGATGCTGTTTCCTATCAACGCCTCTACATTCGTTCAAGAATTACAAAATCTCTAGAATTATATCAAAGATACTTTTGCAAGGAAATTTTATCAAGCTTAATCATCAAACTCATAGCAAAGATTAGCGTCATCATCAAAGGATACCTCAGCGAAGGCAGACCCTAGAAAATCTTCCCCAGTCAATTTTCTACTACAAGTCTAAACTAAACCCTAGCAGGAGTCTAGTCAGATTACCAGAGTTCTCAGAATGAGAACTGAATCATCAATAGAAAGCAACAACTCTGTTAATAGGGTAGAAAAGCCGACAATAAAACATTAATTTATGTCTTAGATCTCGCCTATAAATCAGCTAAAATAATAAAATAAGGATAAATAGCCATCTATTCAGATTGAAAATGAATTGAATCTTAAAACCCCTAGAACTATAACAAGATAAATGCCTTACCATTAGAGGACTAAATCAGATGGCTTTTTCAATTACACTCATCGATTAGAGGGTTTATCGAAAAAGTTATAGCACCTACCTGATGTTTATGGTCAAAATTTCTGCAGAAAATCTTCCTCTTCCTAAAAGAAAAAGAACTTTATTTAGGAAAACAAGAAGCTTATCAGTGATATGAGTCGTCAGAAATCTTAGGAGAAAGAGTTAGAGAAAAGGCTTAAGGATGAATTGGAGGAGTGCAAGATCATAGCTTAAACTGAAGCACCTAATACTGAGAGATCTCATAAAGATACTTAATCTAGAAATTTCAGCAATAGACAAAAATCTTGTTATAAACACAAATTAGAAGAGTAACTTAGACAAAGAATCAAGTAAGCTAATAACATGAGAAGTACATTTCTCACAAAAGCTACACTCAGTAATTTGCCCGAATAGAGTCCTTCCCCGATCTAGAAACCCGGACAGATGAGTTTCATTGTTACTGATGAATAAGCAAAAGATCTACTTGAGCTTTTAAAAACATAGCCTTACAATTCTCCATTTGGTTAGTTTGGCAGTACTAAGGAGATTTATCAATAAATCCAGTCTTAACTGGTATTAAAGGACAAAATTGAGAATGAAAACCCCACTACTATCCTTGAAGAAGAGGATACTTTGAACCTGCTCTCATCCCCTGATGATAAAAATCTCATCTAATCATTGACATCTCTAAATAGCATGAATAGTTTAAAGCAGAGGGCTGACCAAATGGCAATCTCAGATTTTAGATTAAAGGAAACAATGCCAAACCTACCTGAATTTAACAGAGGAAATTAGCCAGTATTAACTTAACAGAGATAGAATGACAGGCTGAGATTTAAAAAATCACCAAGAGATAATTTCTAACACCAAGAGAACAAAGATCCTAATCTTAAGCCTATAATGAATTCCGTGAGATCAGTCCCAAAACTTTAAAAATTAGCTAGGATTAGAAATTGAAGAAATTGATTTTAACCTTCGTGATTCAATTATTAATTTCATAAATATCAATATTTAACGATCCGTAATATTTGAGCAAATGGGGTTTTGGGGTTTTGGGG